AATGATTCATATGAATATGACTTACAGATTCCTTTCATGGTGAGTCTCAGCAATTCCCATGTTTTTCCCCTTCAGGAGTGAATATGTTTCCAAAACAATCTATATTTTAAAATTAAAGCTGTGATAGATTTTACTGAAGGGAGTCTGGATGGTGGATGCTATAAGATTGCTGCAAGTTATCTGCCAATAGATCCCCCACCACGCAATGCTCCACTTATTATTACACAAACTAATCTTCAAAAACACGTGCCTTTATTGCTTCTGAAAATCAATAATCACTTTCAGAAGTTAATGTCTCATTCAGTTTTATTTTCCTTTACTGCTATAGGGCAACATGAGGATGTAGTTTTCACATTATTCACCTTTGTCCAGCAGAACTTTGCTTCATCTTCCTGCCCCTTCATTCCAGTACAGCAATAGTTTCTCCACACCAAAACATTGATTTAATGTTTGTTAATTGGAGACTGTAGATCTGAAAAGTACATTTTGAAATGCGGTCATCTTAGAGACTGATAACTTGTAAAAAGATATTTGAATTTCCAGTGACTATGCAAGCCTTCCAGTCAATGTAATTTAAATCTTAATGCAACATAGTAAAAGGAACACTGTCCAGTAGCTAACTTGTTCTCAAAGATACAGAAATGACCCTCCCATTTAATTTTAAAATGACTGCCATGGTTATACTTTTTCTCTTAAGTAGACACTTCACCTTCTCCTGGAACCAGTCCAAAGTTAACCTTCCTTCCCAATGGCCTGCCACATTTTTTCATTTCCCACCTGAGTAACTTCTAATCCTGAACTGACTTCCTTGATGAGAATTACTTTGGGTGGAAGGACGAATCTCCAGGGTATCTTCCAGGCTTGTCATGAGAATTTAAACCTTGACCTCCACAAATGTGTGAGCACCCACCAGCAATGAGTAGTCAGGAATTTCTCCATTTCAGGAGCAGAACTGACTATCCATATGTCTCCTTGATCTCTCTTTCTTGGATTCTGACAAACTGATCTATCTTGGTGGTTCAGAGCTTTCTTAAGAAACCTATAACCTAACATCATAATGGTTTTTTTATTGATCTCTCCTTCCTAAAATCCATCTCCCATGGCAGGTGAGTCACATTGACCTTGAATCCAAGTAGAAATGCCAAGTAGCTATCCTTTAGTCTCCCAAATCCATCCTGTTTTAGTATTAAATAGTATATAGAAGTTGTGGTTGGTTGGCTCGCCGAGCTGGTTCGTTGTTCCGCAGGCGTTTCATTACCCTGCTGGGTAACATCGTCAGTGCGGCCTCCAATGAAGTTTTGTTTTCCCGCCTGGTATTTAATCTCTGGAGTCCGTTGAGCTGGATTACCTCACTTCGGGTTTTCCTTCGCAATGGAGTTTATGTGGGGTGGAGTTCTATGTGTTTGTAGATGGCTTTCTTCGTGGAGTATCAGGCTTCTAGGAACTCCCGTGCCTGTCTCTGCTTTGCTTGTCCCAGGATCTTGGTGTTGTCCCAATCGAATTGGTGGCTCTCCTTATCCACATGGATAGAGATGAGTGAGTATTGGACATGTCCTTTTGTAGCCAGTTAATGTTCGTCTACTCGTGTTAATTTCCTTCCAGTTTGTCTGATGTAGTGTTTGTCACAGCCTCTGCAGGGGATCTTGTATATAACATTGGTCCTGTCCATGGTGGGTAGTGGGTCTTTGGTTTGGCTGAGCAGTTGTCGTCTGGATGATGAGGGTTTGTGTGCTATTCTGATGCCCAGTGGTTGTAGGAGTCTTGTGGTTAGTTCTGATGCCTTCCTGATGTAAGGTAGCGTGAAGAGTGTCGGGGCGTGTGGGTATCCTCCTGGTGTCGTTTGTTTAGTAGGCCTCTTCTGACCCAGTTTTTCGGGTATCCATTGTCCTTGAACACCTAGAAGATACTCTTCTTCTTCTCGGCGTAGTTCTGTGCTGCTGCAGTGTGTTGTTGCCCGTTTAAATAATGTTCGCACACAGCTAGTTTGTGTGTGTTAGGATGGTTACTGTTGAAGTTCAGTACTTGGTCAGTGTGTGTGGCTTTGCTGTGTACCTTCGTTAGGAATTCCCCATTTGTCCTGCGCTCTACCATGACGTCCAGGAATGGGAGCTGTTTGTTCTTCTCGCTGGTGAATCTTATTCCAGTGAGGGTGTTGTTTATTAGTTTGTGTCTCCTCTAGTTTGGTCCACTTTAATGATGTCAAAGATGTTGTCTACGTAGCGTATCCATAGTTTTGGTTGGATTAGCGGAAGGGCCGTACTTTCCAGTCTTTGCATCACCGCCTCGGCTATTAGTCCGGAGATAGGTGATCCCATGGGTGTCCCGTTGATCTGTTTGTATGTTTGGCTGTTGAAAGTGAAGTGGGTAGTGAGGCATAGGTCCAGTAGCTTCAGCATGTTGTCTGTGGAGATGGTTTCACTGGGGTCTTGTTCTTGTTTTATTAGTGCTGTCATTGTTTCCCTTGCTAGTGGTATGTCTATTGATGTGAATAGGGCAATGACATCAAACGATACCATGGTCTCATCGTCATCTATCCTTATGTCTTTGGAATTGGGGAATTCTCGGGCTGAGTGGATAGAGTGGGGTGACTTGTTGACTAGGTGCCTGAGTCTTCTTTGTAGCTCCTTGGCTAATCTGTGTGATGGCATGCCTGGTAGGGAGACTATGGGTCTGAGGGGTACTTCCGGTTTGTGTACTTTTGGGAGGCCAAAGAATCGGGGTGTGTTGGTTCCTTTGGGTTTCATTCTTAAGTCTGTTTTGTTGATCTGTCTGGTCTGTTTGAGGCTTTTTAGCGTGTTGAGGATTTTGTTGCCTAGTTGCGGTGTCTGGTCTGTCTGTACTTGCTGGTACGTGTTCTCGCTAGCCGATACTCACTCATCTCTATCAACATGGATAAGGAGAACCACCAATTCGATTGGGACAAGCAAAGCAGCGACCAGCACGGGAGTTCCTAGAAGCCTAATATTCCACGAAGAAAGCCATCAACAAACGCATAGAACTCGACCCCATATACACTCCATTGCGAAGGAAAACTGGAAGTGAAGTAATCCAGCTCAACGGACTCCAGAGTTTAAATACCAGGCGGGAAAACAAAACGGTGCTTCATCGGAGGCTGCACTGATGATATTACCCAGCAGGTTAATGAAACGTCTGCGGAACAACAACGAACCGGCTCAGCAAACCAACCAACCACAACATCCACAACCCAAGCTACAAATCTACTCTAAAACCTTAGAGTATATAGAAGTTTATAAAACCTGATATTTCTTCCTAACACTTGATATTTAGTTTTGACAGGGAGTCACTTTGGACTCAAAATATTAGCTCTCATTTTTCTCCATAGATGCTGCCAGACTAGTGTTTCTCCAGCATTAATTGTTTTATTTCAAATTTTCAGCATTTGTAGTTTTTTTTATTCCTAACGCTTAGAGATTAATAATCCAATCACAATTAGCACAGATGTTCTTGTCATTGTTTGCAGGTTTGAACATCTTGCGTCTTCACAGAAAACCAGCGTGTGACCCTCTTCAGCTTTTATCAACCAAGCCACCTAAGCTTGTTGTCATGTGGATCATGAGGCACCTTTATTCCTCCATTTTACTCTAATTTAAAGACAGCCCCAAAACAGCACACTCTTTTAAACTGTATTTCTAACACACCTTTGTGGTTAGTAAGTTATTAAGTGGGGTCGAAGTGAACAGCATCACAAAGAATAGATTTGTGGTAGAAGGTGAGCAATAAACGTGTAGATGCAGTATTGTTTTATTTATTTTTGTTCTTGCCAATCAGAAACCATAATTTGCTTTTTTGTGTTTTTGATCAGGTTTTTTATTGGAACATCATTTGTTTATGCGGTTGAGGGTGTGGGGTCTTGAAATAATGGGTCTTTTGCAACCAGAAAAAAATGTTTGAACTCAATCACATTGTTCAAAACCTACTTTAAAAAATAACTATTAAAATTAATAAATAGTCTAGGATTGTATGAAGTCCATGATGTTGCTAATGCAGTAAATTGAGCAAAGTGGGTGTTTTTAATTTGTTTTGTGGATGTGGGACACCCTGGCGAATGTCACTTTTATAGTTCTGACAACTAAGTTACTTGCTAGGCCAATCCCATAACTATAAAGTTAAATCGCATTATGTACAAGTGGAGCCACATGTCAGCCAAACCACACCAGGTTTGCAGACTCTGTCTTGGGGAACAGTGACTTTCGTAGTAAATTTTCTGTGCTGCCCCTCAAGTTACCAGAATTATTACATTTTATTTCACAGCTTGCTGTGGTTGGATTTGAATTCACTATTTGATTACCTAAACTGTAATCCTATGCTATTGTGATTTATTTGTTGCACTGTGTGATCTCTTAAAGGTTGCTGCATGACTCTGTTTGTGCACATTTAAAGGACCACAGCTTGTGCATGGCCTTCTGGTTCCCTGTGCAGCAAATTTGAAATTACTTTCTGACTGTACAGCCATCATTGGATCACAAATCTTTGCGGTAGCTTTCCTTAAATAATGATTTTTAAGATATCTATGATACTGTTGATGGTAAACAGCGTGGCAGTGTTAATCTTGCCCTTTGCCAGACTGGAGAAACCGAAGAGGCGAATGATGTCTGTAATCTGTCCTGCCTGAACAGACTCTGGTTATCACATGATTTGCACATTGCTGTGGCTGTGAACTATGTTAATTTTGCTGTTTGTGTCAACTTGAGTAATTTTTTCAGGTAAATCTCTTTTTTAATGTTTTTACATAAAAAGGCAGAAATAATCAGACTTTGAGGTTGAATGAGTTGGTTAAATAGTGTAGGACTTGGGGAAATTTATGAGAAGGCATACCCCAAAATGTCATCTCTTCCCCAACAAAGGTTCTAGACCTGACAGAATGAACACCAGTTTCCTCTGACTCTGGGTTAATAGCATCCTATAGCAAATGCTATCTGCTGCTTACCCCCTGTCCTGGAACAATATTTTTGAAATATTAAGTGTTGGCTTTGCTGGAGTTCTTCAGATTATACTTGTGATAGCTGCAATAATAGATTTGGAATGAAATGGTGCCTTACCTCAATATTTTAAATTTTAAAATCTACATTATGTTCCCATAAATATTATGTTCCACATTCAAAATTTTCAGCATTATGGAGAAATGTCTTGCCCATATGTTTTATTGTATACACTAACTCTGCTTGCAGAGTGTTAGAGCCATTTGCTGTGGCTATTCTTGAGGTGAGACATATAGCAGTGGGTCATCTCAACTAGTTGATTCCTTGTCTTTCCTGGAAGAGCATGGAATCTACTTGGAATCTTCCACCCACCTGTCTAAAATCCAAAACGAGCCACCTGCACAGTAGTGGACTAATTCATGATAATTGTGAAACTAGATGTCAAATAATTTGCGCGCAGCATCAAGGAGGATCTGCTAGTCAGTGTTTTCAAAAGACAGCTTTGACATTTGTTTTATGAACTTTCAGTGGGAATTAGAATTGATAAGGTACATTAAATTCAGATTATTGTTGCTATTGCAGAAAACACCCTGAGAACTTGGAGTGTCTACAAAATGCTTCTGATAATGCACCTTTGAAAGCACCTGCTGGCATTGATGAAGATGACCTTGCCAGTTCGGTATATAGCAGTAAACAGCTCAACCTGTCATTTCAAATGGATAGGTAAGTGTAGGAGGAATACAGTTGTTTTCATAAATGACAGTTAAATGCATTTGCTTTTACCTTCTATGAATTGTGTATTCCATTTTTATGAAATCTTAAATTAAGACAATATACAAAAATGCAAGAGAATTCAATTTATTTTGCATAGCGTATTATGATGTGGAATATGGTTATTGAAGGATGATGGAAATAGATTCAATAGTAGCTTTGAAAAGAGAATTGGATAAATGCTTGTACAGGAGAACTTTGCAGAGCTATGTGGAAAGAGCTTGAAAGTGGGACTGATTTTGTAGCTGTTTTTAACAAAAGACATGGTGAGCTAAGTGGCCTCTTTGTGTACTTTAATTCTATATTACATAATTGCAAATAGCTTAAGTGTTTAGTATTTTTGTTTAATGATCCTTGAGCTGGATTATACAGAACATATTTTCTAATCTTGAATCAAAATATGCATATTTTGGTGTATGTATATATAATGTATATTTTGTACTCTCGCTCAATGAGGTGCACTGTGGACAAAAAGTAAAGCTATCTCTACTCTGCCTCAACATTTTCTGAAATGTATCATAATCAACGCCAGCGTAATCTTCCAATTTCCCATATTTGTCTGGCTTGTGGAAGATTGCTAAAAACTGGCAGCATTGTGGGGAATGCAATGCAAGGAATCCATACAACTGGAAGTTTGATCGAAATTGGGTTTTGGTTGGCTTTTCTTCTGGCACAGGAACTTGATGGAGGAGGCAACAAAACTGAAATCCTTCCATTGACTAGAGCCCTAGTTCCATAGGCCAGCATGCGACGCACAGTCCCATATGTATATGCTTTGATAAAGCAGTGAAAAAAATTTGCCTCTTTCCAAAAGGCTGCCTGCATCTATATTTCATAGTGTTAAGTAGTTCTGACTCGGTAAATTGCTTGAAAGCTTATTCTGTACATATTACAGAATGTTCTGCCACATTTCTTTGTGGATTTTGGCAGTTTCAAACTAGCTTAAATTCTGTGACAGACAGTAGCATAGCATCAATTGGAAAAAATCAAGTGCTACATGAATGGCATCTCTAATTTGAGTCCTTATAAATTCACATAGTGTGACCAATCGGCTAATAACATTGGCTGCCAGGGTCATGGGTACAGAAATACTCATCACCCCAACGTTTGGAGGAGTATCATACTCTCCTCCAGGTTTGCATTTAATGTAACCTCCTCAAACATTCCTTTCACAAATGGCTTTTCAGGGTCTTCTCAAGATGGGAAGATGAAAAGTGGAGGTACCTGATAAGGATTCAAGGGATTAAATTCATTACAGACGAGAACACATGGACTTGTTTTAAAGGGAAAAGTTTGACTTCAATGCAATGAATTGCATTTAACGGCTCCTTTTAAAGAAGAAAGTGTCTCCACTTCCTTCAACAATGCAAGAAAATGTAGATATTGAGTCAAAAGACAAATTAGTGAAGTGATCAAAGCATCCTCAAGGAGGTGTGTCTTGATGGAAAAATGAGAGGATGAGAAATGGTTGGGTCTAAAGGAAGAAAGATCTACGTTTATTTTGTGCCTTTTCAGACATAGCAACAGAAGAGAATCTGAGTGTGAGGCCATGCTGTTTTTTCTAACTCAGAGGCTAGTTATGTTGATTATCATCTTAGAGTGTGCATTTACACGATTATTCTGTTTTATAATATAAATGGTTTCATATGCATATTAAAGGTCTTGGAAAGCCCGCTTGAGAACTTTCTACAACCGGACTAAAGTATCATCGGCAGAAAGATTCCTGCAATGGTCTCCCTGGTATCACCACCTGTCCAGCCAGAATTCTCATGATGCAACCTGCAATGTTAATTCCTGTACATCCTCTGTAGTGCCTTACGATGATGTTAGTAAAAACTTTGCCCAGGAAGAGGAGCTGAACAACAGAGCTGATAAGTTGAGCGGGATGGTGCAGCTTCGGGGGCTGAAGGAATCCATGAGCATTCAGACAGTGTCTGTTTCTGAATTCAGTGTTTTATTCACTCTCGTTGCACCTGACTCGGGAGCAGTGACTGTTGCCTACTGGGACTTGGAGAAACAAGAGGTGAAATATCATCATATCAGTGGCCGATCCTTGCCGGTGGAAGGCGATGGGAACGATGAATTATCCCTGTTTCTCACAGGTACACTATAAAAATTATTTGTGCAGTATCTTTATCACATCTGTTGGAAACACAATCTGGTTGCCGGGAATGGCGTGTTTGGGATATAAACTCTAAAAGCTGGGACTGTTTCACTGGAGCATTGGAGGTTGAAGGGTAACGTTTATTGAGGTTTCTAAAATCATGAGGAGCACAGATAAGGTGAATGACAAGGGCCCTTTCCCTAGGGTGGGGGAGTTCAAGACGAGGGGGCATGTTTTTAAGGTGAGAGGAGAAACATTTAAAAAGGACATGGCAACTTTTTTGACGCAGTGAGTGGTTTGCGGAATGAACTGCCAGAGAAAGTTGCAATGTTTAAATGATATTTGGATAAGTTCGTGAATAGGAAAGGTTTGGAAGGATGTGGGCCAAGCACAGGCAGATGGGACAAGTTTAGTTTGGGAACATGGTTGGCGTGGACTGGTTGGACCGAAGAGTCTGTTTGCAAGCTGGATGACTCAAATTACTTCAACAAACCATACCTACTATTCTTTGCCAGCAATATCCTGTTGGAAACTATGAATAAGATTTAGGCATTTTGTTTTTGGACATGTTTGCTGAAGGGATGAGGGTGGGAGCTGCGGGGATACTGGTTAAAATCCCCAGAGAATTCTCAGCTGTGAACAGTTTTAATGATATCCTGGACTATATGGGCAGTCAGCTAAATTTCCATTTAACATGTTAACTGAAGGACACTTTAATGTAACCCCTTCATTGCTGGAAACCACTGCATAAAAGATCACTGTTGAATTCTGGAACTGAATATTTTGCATTTCAACATTCACTGTGATCCCAAAGTTTGGGTGCTTATGCAAGGGTCAGAATAGTTCATAACAAGAATAAATTTATTTTATATTCTGATAAAGGTTTATAATTTATGTTGTCATTTAGGAATTTAAATTTTGGTTTTAAGAGTTTAGAAGTCATTTGGAACTATGAGCTCAAGACGTCAATTACAAGAAAGGATCTGATTTAACTTGAATACCTCAATCATTTACTTGGGGTGATAATTCCTGAATGCTTGAATGGTCAGAGGCTAGAATCGTTTTTCAGTTGAGATGAACAGTTTCATGGCAGCAGAAAAGCAGCTTAGTTTTTGCAGATTTCCAGACTGAGAGCTTTACTCAGTCGAAATCTTCAAGTTGGGAGAAATGTTTCAAAGCTTTGAGGTTGTAAGTATTGAGAAGAATTCTAGGTTGTCAGGACTGGAAAGTAGACTCTAGGCCTCAACTGGAAAGATATCTCTAGATATCTGAGCAAGAAGAGTTAAGATGGAAGTTTTAATTCAGTGGAACTGAGTCTGTAAACAATATTGCTGGGAAATAGGTTAAATATTTGTTTTTGCTGTTTATGTTAACATCTTCCTGTATAGCATTTTTTTAAGCTGTTCTTGTATTTAAAGAACATTGGCAATTTCTTGTGAATCTATTCAGTGACTAATTGCCACAGTGTTTTTCCCGCGGGGGACATGTTTGTGGGGGTCAAAGGAAAAGGGAAGAACATGAGCACAGCAAACATCTCTATGTCTTGGTAAATGAAGTCAGTTTGGATTTTGCACTTAGGTTCTCCTTATGTCCTTTCAAGTCTCTAATATGGACCTCTAGCTTTCTGATCTAGCAATGAGGGTGCTACTAGAGCTGTTCACTTGTACCAGAAACCATTTGTAGACATAAGGGTTTGTTTTCTCCGTGTGTTTAGTAGTGACAATATCCTTTTCCTTATTGTAAAACACTTGGAGATATCTTTTTATAAATGTAAAATGCTTTGTAAGTGTAAAATATTGTTACTACTGTTCCTCATGATGCTGCCTTTAACATGCTGATGCCTTTCCCAAAAGACCAATGCCAATTTGTTCTTCTGTCCTCTGTAATGGCAGAAAGTTCAACGAGAAAAAGTTGATTTAAGATGTGGATCTCCAGAAATATACTTTTATTATTAAACTGAATATCACCTTCCTTTCTTTATTTTGTGATGTGGGCGTCATAGGCAAGGCCAGGATTTGTTGCCTGTAATTTACCCCTTGAATTGAGTGGTTTCCTAGGCCATTTCAGAAGGCAGTTAGCAGTCAACCACATGCTGTGCTGTAAGACTCTGACTGTGTCTATGACATTACTGTGAATCTGGAGTTGCAGGAGGGTCTGACCCAGTAAAGATGGCAGACCTCCTTTCGTAAGTGAGAACCAGATGGATTTTACTGATACACTGGGTCACTGACATTCAGACTAGTTTTTAATTCCATATTTTATCCCACTCGAATGGGATTTGAACCCATGTACCCAAACACTAGCCCAGCAGTGTGGATTGCAGGTCGGTGATGTTACCGCTACACCTCCAGCTCCCCATTGTTGAAATACAAATCTGAGTAGATCTGGTTTAAGTTAATTAAAATAAATGATAGAGTAAATATGAGGCAGTGTTCATAACTTTAAGCATAGAGCCCGGATTGTTTGCTTAGAAGATTAATGTGGTTACTTAGTAATCCTCTAATTAATAGGAGCAGCATTCTGGGACTAGTAATGTGTATCATTTCAAAATATATTATTTCAACTGTAAATAATTGTTTTATTTAAAGACTTCATATTAAACATATTTGTCTGCTAAATTTGTGTGTGGGACAATGTTGCAGTGTTTTTATTCCAGTAGAGAGATACTAATCCCACTCCAACAAGGAAAGAAGTACATTTGAGATTAACACCAGTTTGTAATGATAATTCTACTTCAACAACCATGTGGGTTTTGAATGCCGAATTTTGTGAATTTGACTTTGATTTTTCTTTCAGTTGACCAGTGCTGGATTGCTGATTAACAGGGTTATGACTCCATGGACACTGCCAGCCCAAGTAACCATTTTTAATATCAGGGTCTTTAGTCAGATCTTTGCCTCAATTATACGCATGCACACTTGTAGCAGAACAGCAATAGGGAGCGGAGATTGTGGCTGGTGCACCCAGTGTTTGGTCCTAAGGTTAAGTACCTTGCTGGTGTCTCAGTCATTGAGATCAGTTGATGCAGAGTAAATTGAATCTGGGCTGATTTTGATCTCTTGGGTTTCATACAATGTAATGTGTTTGCCAACCAAATCATTTAGGAAGTTTGGTAAATTTTCTATTTGACTAATGAATGGTAAGAATTAGCACAAATGGCTTAAAAGTTAAAAGCTTGAATTTTTAATGTTGTGATTTAGCGCTTGTTTTCCTGTTTCTAACTTACATTGTTCAGATGCTGGCCTTACCATGGTGGTGTTTGCTTTCTCACAAGAAGATCTATTGAATCGTTTAATGATTTATGGGAAGGCAGGCATTGTTGACTCGTTGTGCCATCTCAATCATTGGAATCGATGTTCAATTCCCATCCATGCGTTAGAGGTAAGAGACTGGGGAGACAAAAGGGTCATTTTGACAAGTTTAAAAAGCTTAACTTTAAATTTTGTTTGCTAAATTTCAGTGTACTGTTTTGAATATTGTTTGGAGTATTAATCCAACAAAATTATGCATTTATGCATGATAAAACATGAAAAATCTCGAGGTACTTCATGGGAGTGTTATCAAACAAAATTTTAACATTGAATCACATAAGGAGATGTTGGAACAAGAGCATCTTAAAGACATAATTTGGAGGATTTAGTGAGTAGGCAGGTAGCAAAAAGCACAGCTGTCAAAGTGGAGTAAAGAAAACTGAAGCTGCACGGACAAGCAACTTGGATGGTAATGAAACTTGAGGTTAGAGTGATAGGAAAGGGCAATGCCTAAGAAGAATGTGAAAAACAGGATGAGAATTGTAAAATCAAAGCATTGTTGATGTGGGGTCAGTGTGCATGGAGGTGATGGGTGAAGAGAACTTGGTTGTAAGTTAGTATGCTGACAGCAAAATTTTGAATGTGCTCCGATTTACAAAGGGCACTCTGTTCAGAGGTCTACCTTGAGGAAAACCTTGTACTTCTGCCTGCCAAAAAGTTATTAACAGAATACCTTACTTTCAAAACCCTTTCTGATTATGGTTGGTCCCTGCTGAGTAAATGAATATAGAAACAGCCTAACACCCTGACTGTAAGATGAGAGAGAGTTACCAATGATCAGAGGAAGATTTTCTCTGCCTGTCATTTACAGCAGACTCATAATTTTTCTTTTTGACAGCTTTTATGATGTTGCTGCACAGAGAAATCCCTCTCCCTTGATGTTGCTTGAAGTTTCTTCTTTTGAAAGGATTTATGGAATTCTTACCACATTATGAAAGATAATTGAGCATTTTGTTAACCAGTCACATCTGCAACCACTGCTTAATCACTTTTCTATTAATTCTTTTCTGGATTTCCATGAAACGTGTTGAGTGACGTGATGATATTTTACTTTGCAGTAGATTTGCACAAAACTAATTACATGCATTCCTCTTGAACAGTTCTGCCTTTTGATCAAAACTCGTCATCTGGGAGTTGTCATTTGTGGCACCTTGATTATAAGAGGTTTTTTTAAGGGTAGAAGCTCTGACCTCTTGATGTCTGGGCATTTTAGAATACGTTGTAACTGAGCCAAAAAAATGAAGTCATGATGAACTCTAAAAAATATTCAACAGAGCTGTGGTAGCATTAATGCGTTTGATTTGGTAAAATTCTCCTATATTCAAAGGAACTCATTTGATTTATAGTGGTGCCTCTAGACACTTTGGAAAGATGTTTTTACTGACCTTTAGTCTGCCTTTGCTTTCTCGGATTAGAACTGTTGGCATGTGATGAGATAACTCCTTATTCATGACTTCCTGCAGTCATGATTTTTAGTTACTTTCAGTACTATTGTATTTTTGTAGTAGTCAGAATACAACATTGCATTAACATTTCATGCATTTAACTGTTAATAGAACCTCCTAACTAACTTTAGTCAGATTCTTAAACTAAAATGGTAACATTTGACCTTGCTAGATTTGACATTGTACGACTGTGTCCCCATGTTGCACACTCAGCTGCTGGATTGTGAAGCTAGAGTGTCTGGGTGGAATGAATATTCATAGGTGGGAAGACAGGCCACTACCGTGTCCTTGGAAACTTTTGCAGAAGCCGCTTTCTTCAGAAGCAGAAAGAACAACATTGCACTGATTGGCTTCGAAGCCAAAGAGTTACTGAGTTCCACTGTGCAGGTCCATAATGCAATTCTGCTACTGAGGGAATGTCTTTATAGCCTTGTTGCTATGCTGATACCATAGTAAAACAATAAAATCTCTCCTTTTTGCTATAGGTGGAAGAATTTGCACACATGATTAAATCGCTTACACCAATAGGTTTGTCATTTTTCATATCAAGTAACAAGACTCTTGGAATTTGATCTCCTCACTATGTTTATGAGGAAAATAAACCAGAATTTGTGAAGGCTATATTTCTTGGGAATGGAAAGAGTAATGAGGTCATGTGGATCAAGGGTGCAACTGCTGTTACTTGTCATTTTAAAGGAGCTATCGATGTTTAAGCTCCAGTACCTTAACGTATCCTGTCCCTTCGATGACCCTCTGTGGAATACTGCAAAGGGGAAAAAAAACTTGTATTCAAGTCCTTCTCAGATTTTTTTTTTTTTGAGAAATTTTGAAATCTTTGAATTATTTGTGCCTTTTTAATTTTCTTGCAAAAATAAGAAATCTGAGGTAAACTTGTAAACATACCTCCATTAGGCTGTTCATTACAGATCTCTGTGCAGTACTAGAAAGTTTGACTGGGCTTAGAAAAGGTAGCTGTTTACTAACCATTATCACATCTGAGACAGGTTAACTTATGTTCCATGGTTACTCTTAATCATTGTTTTGCTGCAATAGAAAATTCACCCATAGTTAGTTGGTAGCTATTTTACAAACTGGTTTTCCTGTATGCTTCTGAAATTGTAATGTACGGTAATTTGAAAGCAAAAAAAAGTAAAACGCTTTTCACAGGAGTTAAGAATAAATGGAGTCTTCACTTTTCATATAATCCAATCTTTTCTGAATTTGTGAATTTTTCAAATATTCAGTATCAAGGTTTTCATGTCATTCTTCTATTCTACTTGCATACACACTAATGGATATGTTAAATCATTGATCAGAGAAAGGCTTTTCAGACAGTCAAAACTGTCATTCTTTTAAATCTTTTTCCTAATTATATTTGGACCCATTCACAGACTTTTGGGAGATGGTGTTTCAGATTTCTATGACACTTTGTGTGAGGAAGTATTGTGATTTTTTTTTTTTTTTTTTTTTTTTTTAAATCCCACATACCCAGCTCTTCTTGTTCTGGTTTCCCCATCAACTGTAGTGTAAGCCCTTCAAGGCTAAAATATCTTTCGTGTGATAGTTAATGAAGGACACTTGCAATTTATTTTACAGCTTAGCTTTACAAAAAACCCTCACAGAATTTTAAAGTACAGTTTGAAAAATGAATGCTAAACTGTGGTTGACAAAGGCTTTAAAATGTATTTTAAGATGTCTTTTCAAAGTGGAAAGACAGTTGGAGCAGTTCCAGAGTGATGTTTAGCTGCCTGAAGATTGTGCCTGAAAAACAGTGAAGGCCACAGACTGAGTGTGTGAGGAGTACACAGTATTGTTGAAGGGATGTGGATAAATTAGATAAATGGACAAAGCATTTGGTAGATGGATTATAAGGAAGGAAAATGTGATGCAATCCACTTTGGTAGGAAGTAGATACATTTGTACCTAAGATGGTACCATAAATGGCAGCTTGTAAACTTTACACTGTACTCATGTGAGTGACCTGTTGGGACCTTTTGTTATTTGTTATTTACATAAATGATCTGGATGCAAATGTACAAGGCATGATTAGTAAGTTTGCAGATGATACAAAATTAGGAGGTATCGTTGATAGTGAAGAAGGTTATCAAAAATTAGAGAGATCTTGATCAGATGAGGAAGTGGGCTGAGGATTGGCAAAAGCAATTCAATGCAGATAAGTGTGAGATGTTGCACTTTGGAAAGTCAAACCAAAGTAGGACTTCTACAGTAAATGGTAAAGTCTTGAGTGTTGTAGAACAGAGAGATCTAGGAGTACAAGTACATAATTCATTGAAAACAGTGTCACAGGTAGACAGTGGTGAAGAAGGCATTTGGCATGCTGACCTTCATCGGTTGAGGCCTTGATTTTAGGAGTTGGGATGTCATGTTCCAGTTGTATAAGTCATTGGGGAGGCCACACTAGGAGTATTGTATACGGTTTTGGCCATCCTATTATAGAAAAGACATAGTTAAACTGGAAAGTGTGCAAAGAAGATTTACGAGTATGTTGCCAGAACAAGTAGGCCTGAGTTATAGGGAGAGGTTGGCTAGGATAGGACTTTATTCCTTGGAACGTAGGAGAATGAGAGGTGACCTTATTGAGGTGTGTAAAATCATGAGGGGCATAGATAGGATGAGTGTATAAAGTCTTTTTCCTCGGGATGGGGAATTGAAAACTAGAGGGTATGGGTTTAAGGTGAGAGAGGATAGATTTAAGAAGGACCTGAAGGGCAACTTCTTCATGCAGAGTGGTGCATATATGGAATGGGCTGCCAGAGAAAGTGGTTGAGGCAGGCACAATAGCAACATTTGGATAGGTACATGGATGATGAGGGTTTCAAGGAATATAGGCCAAATGCGGGCAATTGGAACTAGCTGAGTGGGCACCATGTCAGCAAGGACCTGTTTGGGCCAAAGGGCTTGTTTCCATGCTGTATTACTCTGACTCTATGACTGTATAACTCCAGTACATGTGACAATAAAAGCTAATTCTAATTCTAATAAAAGAAAGTATTTAAATGGAGAGAGAATACAGCAATGCAGAGCAATTGCAGAAAGGTAGCAACTAATGAGAAAAGCAAATGGAATTTTGACCTTTCTCTATCAAGAAACCTTGGAGCGTAAAAGCAGGGCAGTCTTAATACAACATGCAGGCCATTGATGAGACCACATGTAAAGTACTATATATTTATTTAAGGAGGGATTTTTTTCTTGGCAATTCAGAGAAGGTTCCCTAGATGATTCCTGCTTTGTCTTGTGCCTTAGCGTGGTCACAGCCTGACAGCTTGACTTGCTGGTCAGCAGTCCTCAGCCAAGGGGTCAGGCATCTTGCCTTATGATACATTACAGCATCAATCTCACACCTCCATATGCCAGCCACTTAATGCGGCAAATGTGCTGAGTGTGATACAAGCAAATGGCCATCCTCCAAGTCTAAGGCATGTAGTTTATCAATAAAGTGTAGGAGAAACTTAGCAGGTCTGGCAGCACTTGTGACAAAAAAAAAGCAAGTGAGCGTTTCAATATAACTCTTTCTCAGAATTGAGAGGAGCTGAAAACTGGTGTGGCAGAAGGGGAAGGAGAAGTGGATGAAATAGATTGTGAGGCTGCCCAGGTAAGGGGATAGAGGGGAAAGTTAATGTTGCTGAAGGAGAGAGCGATTGATAAAATGGGTGTAAATGAAGGAGAAAATGCATCCACTTGGCTGAGAACAAAATCAACAAGACGTGGATGGGGAGAAAAGAAAAATGGTAGAAAGAGGTCATGCTCTGAAGTTGTGGAAGTCAATACGAAGTCCTAGAGGCTGTAAATTGCCTAAGTGAACATTGAGTTAATGTTTGTTCAGTTTGCATTGTTGTGTTAGAACACAGCAACAGACCCAGAAATGTTAGCATGGAAACAAGGTGGTTTATTGAAATGCCAAGTCACAGGAAGGTCAGGGTCATTGCTATGGATGGAGTGGAGATGTCTTGCAAAGTGGTTACCCGGACTGCATTTAGTCTTGCCAATGTAAAGGAGATTGCATTGTGAGCAACGACTATTGTAAACTAGATTGAAAGAAGTACAAGTAAATCATTGCTTTATCTGGAAGGTGAGTTTTGGGGCCTTGGACACTGAGGAGGGAGGAGGTGAATGGATAAGTGTTATACCTTCTGAGCTTGCATGAGAAGTGAGTGATTGAATGCCAGCATTTGTCTGGCTACACTACGGCTTTTGAAAAATGGCACACGTGCTATGGATGCTTGTTTATCCCAAGATATTCAGCAAGTGCCAAATACTTTTGGCTATGCCAAGATGGTAGAATGGGGCTAGCATCAAATGACGGGGGTAACAGAGGGGCGTGGTGGGTAGATAATGATGAGTTCAAGATGATATAAGCAAGAAATCTTGCTATGGCTCGGAGAAAAAAGGAAACCAGATGAAATTGACGCGGCCAAAATATTATAAAATTCAGTCCTTCGTTACGTAAATCACATTGTCATTCGTTCATATTTTAAGAGAACAGCATTTTTGATGCAGACCCATAAAACTTCCCAAATAATTAAAAGCCTTGGAAATCTACCTTTAGAAATATACTCTGAGGAGCAGCCTATAGTTACATTCTGCACAATGACCAAGAAGCTGCTTTACACTACCTGTTTATATCATTTTAGTAAAAATATAAAATAGGTCCCTAGATCACTGTGAACATGCTTAATAGCTTTCATAAGCAAATAGGATTGAAGAAGGGAAGCAGAATGTTGTTGTTTAGATGGGCTTAGAAATGGGGAGAGATGAGGAGGGAAAATCTAATTAGCTGTCAAGTTAAGTGGAAGTATAAATGACACTGTGTGACAAATGGCATTCATGTTTAAGATTGATGGGTGTGATGGAAGAGTTTGGCAGGAAGTATTATACGTTCTGTATTTCAATACAGAGGACAATTGATGGAGGCAAGAAGCTCCTTAGCTTCGCTAGCAAGGAAAGAATTATTATTAAAACTGTGTGGCAAGCCTTTCAAAGCCAGGTAGGAAGTAAGAGTGCAGGATGGTAAATTTGGAGGTTGGAAATTTGAGGAACAATAGCAATATCAATGTACGGCATCACCAATTGATGGCAAGGAACACAGATGAAAGGAGGGAGTCACCAATCAGATAATGACAAGCCTCACAACCCTGTTTCAGGAGGGCCCCAACCCATATGTGCTGACCTTGATTTAGTGGGTGGCAATCACTTGGCCTGTAAAAATATTTGTTACACTTTAAATTTGCAGGCAGGGATTGAGAACAGGCAGCTGGATATGGTCGATTTTTTCCTGAAGAGCAAAGAAAAACTATTTTGTGCTCCAGCAGCAATTTTGGTGCAAGAACCTTCTGCAGCTGCGATGATGCCTTCAGTGCAACTAACAAGTAAGCAACTTGGATATTCAGGTCAAAATTCGATTTGCTCAGTTAGTGTGGACAAAATTATTTGAGATGTCACTTTTATTAAAAAAAAAAGATTTCACTGTTACTTAACAAGCCTTACAATTATTTGTTTTGTTGGCTGCTACTTAGTTACTTTGTTTTCAAGCAGTCACAATATTACTTAAGACCCGGTGATTTGGTAAATTTTAGCAAGGATATTGTGCAACATTTATCTGGTGCCATGTTTTTTTTCCATTCATGGGATTTGAACATTGCTGGCAAGGCCGGTATTTATTACCTATCCTTAATTGTGGCTAAGAAGTATGGATATGAACTAACTTCTTAAAAAGCTGCAGTCCTCCCAGTATAGGTACATACAAGGTGCTACAACACAAGAAGTTGCCAAATGTTGATTCAGCATCAACGAAACATAGAAACTAGAAACAGAAGTTGGCCTTTTGGCCCTTTGAACCTGCTCTGCTATTCAGTATCATCGTGGCTGATCCCCATCTCAATGCCATAATCCTGGTTTCTACCCATATCCCTTGATGCCTTTAAAATAGAAAAAAATGTATCTAGAAGGAACGGTGCTTCAGTTCCAAGCCAGAATGTTGGGTGCTTTGGAAGTGTTTCCACGCACCCTGCTTCCCTCTCCCTTCCACATGGTAGCAGTCACAAGTTTGGAAAGAGCTGCCCAAGCAAGTTTCTGCTTGCATCTTGTAGCTGGCTTAGGCTGAAGCCGTGAAGTATCAGTTATTGAGAGAGTGAATGCAAAGGGTGGATTTTGGGGTTCAGATCAAGCCTGTTGCTTTCTTCTGAATAGTATTGAGCTCCTTCAATATTGTTGGTACTGCACTTGTTCATGAAAATAGATACATCCATTACACTCCTAACTTGAGACTGGAATTTGATGTCTGCAGCAAAGAAATACAGATTATAACTTTTTAATATAATTTTAAATGATTACAAAGCAACAACTCCACCAAAAGATTTATTCCCCTGTTTTTTAAAATTATTTATGCTATGGTTTTATGATGATAGTGAGACTCCCTGGATGACACTATTGTCATTCAATCCCTATATGGCTTTCTTTGGGAAACTGGGGCTAGAGCCCTGAACAAGAAAATAATTATTTTTTCGGAAATACTATGGTGCTGAGTACCATTTCTATTTATTGAATTCCTAACCATGTCCTATTTAGGCTATTGTTATTATGTTGAGAAATATTCTTTGCCTTAAAACCTTAGAAATAAATGTCTCAGAATTGAAAAATCCAAGAAGTTTTTCATTGGCGCCTTCAATTTTGCTGGGTCAAAATCCTGGAACTGCCTTCCTAAGTGCATAGTGGTCTGTCTACACCCCAAGGACTGCAGCAGCCCAAGAAGACAGCTAACCATCACCTTCTCTGGGCCAGTTTGACTAGGGAATAAATACTGATGCAATCTGTGATGTTCACATCCCATGAATGAAAATTGCGTGAAAATTTAAAAATTGCAAATATTAAAAAATTAGGGAATCAATTGGATGAAAGAAGGATGCAGGTCAGCTGTGATCTATTCAAGTGATGCCATGGGCTCGAGAGGCTAAATGGCTTCCTTCTGTTACTGTGTTCCAAATCTAGTCTCTGGAGTTCTGTTTATAGAAGCTAATTTGGCTTGTCTGTAAGCTGCTGTTCCACAGCACAATCTTCAACATTGAGTCTTGTGTCCTGTAACAAATGTGGCAAAAAAAAAACTCAGTCATAAGGTCCAGTTCTTAAAGTTTTTCTTTAAGCTCTGTTTTATCACTCAGCTGTGGTGTCCATGCTATCAAAATAGCTAAGCATAAAACAATCAAGCCCTGGAGATCAAAAGGCCGTGATTTGATTCGTGAGGTGTACAGAGCTAACTGATCTCAGCTGGGACAGTGCTGTGTAGAGGTGACCCATGTTCCTTAGTTTCAGTGGAGGAAACGTCAGGCAGAGTTTCTGCTTCCACATGCTGTTGGCATCTTCATTGCATTTGTGTAACTGTCAGATACAAACAAGCTGGATCTCAGCTGTGATTCATCTGTGGTCAAAAAGCCATGCCACTCGCTGTCTAGACACGCGTGTGTAGAATGCTAACTTCGATGTGGTTCTGGTTAGCTTGTGGAACTGTACCCAAGCAAAACTCAACCCTCCAGCAGCCTGAGGGAGAACAAAATTTTGCAACCTTCAATTCCAAAGGCTTTATTTAATCCCCTTAAAATTAAATTGCTTGTATCACTTTACTGTGATATCATTTTTATATTAAAGCTGTAAAAGATTCATCAGACTCAGATTTTAACAGAGTGCATCAGCCGAGGTTGAGCTGCTATTAATTCATCTAAGTCCACCCCAAATCAACCCACCCTTCCCTTTTCCATTCCTTTGGAAATTGATGCTTATGTTTTACAGTGTATTGCAAAATGGAAGCACACAAGGTAGCAGCATTTTTTTTGTGCTTCTTGGTAATGGTTAAGATACAAGTTCAGTGACAATGTTTCTTCTTTGTTCATTTCCCTCTTCATGTAGATGTTGAAGAAATTAAGCCAGCTCTAGATTTGCTATGTTCGGCAATCAGGGCAAATGATTCCGAACCGCAAGGCAAGCAGTTCTCTGAACAGCTTCTGAACCTTACTTTGGCTTTTCTCAACAAACAAATGCAAGAACTTCTAACCCAGTCAGTAGGTGAGACGTCTTGATAAAGCTATGGATTCTTTTGAATGATTTTTCTTTGTGCAGCTATTCTTTATCCATGACCCGTTCAGATGGGGAAATAACAGAAATGATGTTTCCATTTTGAGATTTTTTTTTGACTGATGGTATTTCAACATTTTTTTTTTCTTTAAAAGTTGTTTGTGTTTTTCCTCCCACTACATGACATTGTATTTCCTACTGTCTCCTGAGAGAGAAGTTGACACATTTTTGGAGCTGGTAACAATTGGTGAAGACAAATATCTAGAAATTAGAAGGGAAAAAAATGCAATTTTTAAAAGAAATATGTTAACTGTTTTACTAGATAATTAACTGAATTGGAAATGTAATGAAAGCAGCCTGACTGAAACCTAGTTTATTTTGACTAGATGTTAGAGCAGCAGAATTATGACCATAAGGTTATAGGGCTCCTCGTGTCAGTAAAGTTTGAGATTTATTAGACTTATCCAGAGCTGTTTTATGTTGTAAATTCTGAAGGAGATTTAGAGGTAGCCTTTTTTCATATTTGTTTCATTGCTTATTGAAACTGTAAATCATAGAAAGCTAGAAGCTGCAGCATAGTGGGAAGCTTTGATGGTAAAGTGTTCATTTTGCAATCCTGTTTTTTATCCCGTCATATCCTTTTTTATTATTTCTCAAAATGCCTGATATCCTTAAAATGACAGCAAGTTTCTACTTCAATACTCGTTTATCATAGAGTACTGTTTGTCTAATAACGTCCTACATGAACAGTAAATATTCTAATTTCTTCCTTTTTGACATTCGTGAGATGATCCTATATCTATTCCTTGTAACTGATTGCCAACAGTGCAGATAGTCTTTGTGAATCATGACAGGAAACCTTTCAAAATCTTACAAGTTGTGTTAGATTCTCTCCATAACCATCTGTATTGCAGTGAATAAAACTTGTGTTTTTTAAGCTAATTTTTTCATTATTAATCTATCTTTCCTGCATTGTTTTGCTGAATTTTCCCTGTACATCTTTCAATGGCTCTGATGTCCATTTGGTTCAATATATAAGCTGGACTGTAGATTGAAAGTCATTGTCAGAATTGCATACTTTATTAAGAGATCAGAGCTATGGAAAGTGGCCAGTAAAAATTCGCTTTATTTTAGGCATGTTCGCTATCACTAATCAGGATGAGGTAAGACGCATGTGTCTCCCATCAGGAGACCCTGCCAGAATCCAGCTAACTTAAACTGCTTCCAACTGCCTAATACTCCATGCAGTGGCTGTGATAGAGATAAAAGCTTCACCTTGGCTCCTAGCTTAACCTTTACATATCCATTATCTTGTACTACATTCTCTAATGTCTCCTTTTGTGTTCGGTATCTAAGATTTTACCATCAGTTCTGTGAAGTGCTTTGGGATGGTTTTCTCGATTTAAAGCTGTTGAATTGCTGAATGTTTTGCAGTTGGTGCTGTTCTACTACCTCCCCCATCGTTATATTAAAAATCTTTTCCTTTTAGCATGTGTTTTCACCATCGTTTATTCCCAACATTTATTTGTGGTAAAGGGCTACTTGATTGACATTTCAATGGCCTTTTCTGTCTGTCATTTATCATGCACCTTAATTGAATAGCAGCAAACATCAATATCCTTCTGTGTTTACATTTAAGTCATTTAACAAACAGAAAGTGACAGTTTGCAATATCAATGTTTGGGGTACATTGTATATTGTAATTCAAAATTCATTCATCCTGCCAACTTTGTTTTCTGACTCTAATGCTTTCACTTAGCCATTGTTCTCTCTATGCTGCCTGGCCTGCTGTATTCATCCAGCTACACCTTGTTATCTCAGACTCCAGCATCGGCAGTTCCTACTAGCTCTTTCTATGTGGTTAGGTTTCTTTGAATATCATGCCTTGATCTTCTTAAGTATCTCAAATCACCAATACCTTTATCAAACTAATTATGGAAATTATAATTGGTATCCACCACATTCCCGTCTCTGAAAACTGAATAATTTCTTTAAGACCATCTATCAACACTGTCGCAGTCGTTTGATCAGTGTCTTTTATGTTTCTAATAGTTTTTTCTGTCACCCCCTATATTCACTAAATGCTTTTTTTGTCTCTATTTATCTATAGAATCCCAGCCTTTGTGCCTCCTTTTATTTCCCCTGAGTCAGAAGGTATTTAATTGCTACTTTATCAATCAAGAACGTAAATTATTCTCGTATTTAGTCTAATGTTTTCTTCACCAGCTTTACCCTCGCAAGTTAATCTTGAATCAGATCCCCTTGCATTCCACAGAACATAGCTAATATTCAATGCATCTTTTTCTCTAATGACTTTTAAAAGTGGCAATCTGCCTGCAAGACTATGGATCAGGTGCTGGAAATTAGAATGGCTATTGATGCAGCTGGTGCAGGGCGTAGAGAAGTGATGGTGGTGTAGTGGTGAGGATAGCTACCTTCCAAACCATTGACAACAAGGTGCAGAGCTGGATGAACACAGCAGGCCAAGCAGCATCATAGGAGCAGAAAGGCTGACGTTTCGGGCCTAGACCCTTCATCAGAAAACTTTT